GTGCAAGCAGCATCGCAAATGAACTTTGTATCTCTGTTGTCAGAGTATGTCTGTCAACAGCATAATCAAAAGCACTGTTTTAGGTTTACCTGCTCACTTTGAGCAGCTCTGTAACAGCATGACTATGAAACATGAAACCCTGGCTTGTATCTAAACGAAAATGCGGTTAGGGAAGCAGAGCAAAGCATGGCTCTCTGCACATTACGATTTAGGTAGGAAGTGGGTGATCTGCTGCAGATGTTGTTGCAGGTTCTTATCAAACCCTCTGTAAAACCCAGAAAACTTCCCATATCATGAATGCAGAAGTGGTGAAATGTTTTGCAGTATGACTGACAAACATGTTGTGTTTGCAGAGTAGCTCAAAAGCACTTTGCGTTGCAGAACTGTGATTCTTTCAGATGCAAGATTTTTTTACTGTGTAGCTGATTCAAAAATCTTGAAGTTCTTTTTATGAAAACTATAAAAATTCATTAAGAATTTTAAAATTCTGAGCATTTTTTCCTGCAGAATTCTTGGAGTTTCCCTATAGTGCCTGATCATTGTCAGGTTTTCTTTAAGTTACTAAAAGAAAGAGTTGACACCGCATCAGGGATCAAAGGGAATAAGTTTTCACCAAAGGCCATACACTAGGCAAAGTGAAAAGTGGGGTAGTTTTCCTTTTAGGATGTGAAGTCAAGAAATACTTTTCCACCTGTACATGCAAGAGACTGTCTTGTTTTGAAAGGGATTTTCTTACATATGTCTATGCATTTAAGGTGAAGCAGATACGACCAGAGTTAACTCAAAATGGAAGGTAGAGTGATATACATTGCTGTTTGGTTTTAGTTTTGTTTAGAAATTTCTAATTCAGTTTTGAACCAGAAATTTCTGAGTCAAGGGAATTAATAGCTTAGATGCTACAGCCTGATACCTTAAACATCATTAGGAGTCCATTCTTTGCTGTTAATTCTGGACTGCTTGGAGGTTGGAGGTCAGGCTAATGCATTTGGCAGAGAGTGTGTTGCTGATAACATCAATAGAGCTGTTCTGAGCTAACTGGGATTTCTAAGGCACTGTTTACTTTGAGAGCAGGTGCACATTGTTGCTGAAATTCAGCCAAGTATGAGAGAAATATGAATAGCTGAATCCAGACCACCCTCTGCTAGGATGGGATATTTTCCTACTTCAAGGGAGGTATCAAAATTATTATTTGCCACTGTTGTCAGGTAAAAGCTCTCTGCCAAATAACCACATTCTGTTGCAATACAGATTGGATTGATCATCAGGGATTGTATCATCAGTGAATGGATGTTGAAGTGCAGGTGTGAGTGCTAAAAAATGTGGTACTTCTTTTTTCTTTTACTGTTTCTGTTCTGCTCAGGTTGATAATTGGTTATTCATCTTCATCTTTGTGCCACTCTGTCACCCAAGCACTGAGATACCGTGGTATTTAGTGAGGTGATAAACAGAGGCATGACATTTCATCTTTGTCGGTACTGAAGCCCATATCTCCCTTGCACATGAGTCCAATTTATTTCATAATTTTGAAAAAGGGAGAACTGTCTGTGGCTGAAGTACTGGTTTCCATAAGATTCCTATACCACCAAGCAGTACTTGTTGCATGTGTTACTCCAGTATAGACTCCAGACAGTGCTAGAACTTCCCTTCAGTTTGTCACTTATTTGAGTTGACATGGGAGAGGCATGGAAATTACAGAGAACCATTACATGCAGATTGATTTCTCTTGATGGCATAAAGGAAGATGGGATCTTTCTCTAGATGTCATATGAGCACCAAAGAGGAATTAGTATTTCCTTTTCACAAGCCAGGAACGGCAAGGGTCAAAGTCACAAGTTTTGCTTCAAGACAACTTCAGTGTCCTGAACTTCCTGGTAAATAAACATTCTCCAAGAACGTAGGTGACCTTTTGGTCTCTGCCCACTTTGAAGTTGTTTGAGAAGGTTATCTTTCAGTGTTCTGTCCACAGTTCTACTGTAAGTGCTGAAGATCTGGTCATGATTAAAGAGGTTTAATTCCACAAGCAGCAGTGTAATGGGATATTTGGGATGTTCTGTGTACAGCTGCTATGGCAACAGCTAAGTTCCTCTTAGCTGCTCTACAGCTGCAGACCCTGTTCATCTGGTCTTTTATCTCTTTTTGAAGGACTTCAGTTTCTGCATCTGTTTATTCAGGGCAACACAGCATGTAAAAAAGCTCAGCCCTAAGAAGAGGTGAGAGGCTATTTGGAAACTGAGGTCTTAATGGTTAAAGCTACCATCCAGTGATCACCCCTAACATTGTTTCCTGTGATGAGAGTGCTTCAGGTGCATGTGAAGCCAGAACGTAGTTTCAGTTTGAATTCTTGATCTAAATGTCTGCAGCTGGCTGCAGTTCCACTACTTGCACAGAGCCTTTCCAGGTTTTCAGATTACCAAGT